GGGGTATGACTCAATGGCCTCTTCCTGGCCAGTCACACCAAGAAAAAGGATTAAGAAACAACAGGTCTTCAAATGGCACTCAACGAACAGTGGCCAAGAAGCAAAAAAAAAAAAAACAAAAACAAAAAACAACTCCATCCAACCATCTGCGGGAACCCTTCGACCAAAAAGCAGAAAATGTATATTCAGGGCCTTAAGGACCGAAGTCCACTAAAGAGCAGAGTTCATGTGGGACAAAGTTACAAACACAAGAGTTGACTTCTGCATTCAATCTTTCTCTAGAGTACCCTTGATCAACACTACTCAGTTAATGCAAACACCTTGTGAAGGCTAATTCCTTTTAGATTGTGCTTTAAAGTTGCTAACATAGCTAGACTATACCCCTCTGCTAACCACAGAAGACCCAAGAAAAATGGAATGTTTTTATTGGTAATTTCATTCATCTGGGAACCAGATTAAAGATTCCATTTTGAACATTTCTCAAGACAAGACCTCCAAACTTTATCATAGTTTTTCTTTACACTTGCTTGTACTTTATGTTGAAGTTTAACTTAGCAGGTAGAAGCCAATCCTTCAAGTCCATACCCATGCATCAGAGCTCACTCTTTTCCCTAGCTATAGACTACTATTTTCCAGTAGCAAATGCTGTTTGTCACAAGGAAGCTAAGTAGAAAGGAACGAATCACTCTTCAGGACAAATGTATAGCTACCTCTATGAAGTCACTATAACACACAAGGCTGATTACAGCTGTGCGTGCTCTGGGTTATCTTCCTGTAAGAAAGCAGGGCACTTCAGTTTGGCTGGAGTTCTAAGGTATCAGCACAGGAAGGACCAGACTCCCAAACACTGGTCTCTAAAGAGAAAACTTACTTTAGATTCACTGGATTGCTTAGCAATCATACTTAGAAAAAAATTAACTTTGTCCAGGGCTAGAAAACACTTGGCAATGGCCTTGTGTGTGATTGTGTGTATCTGTGTATGACTATGCTGAGGCCATGCAATGATCACATTTCTAGCCTGGTGCATAATACAGCACTCAAGTATTGACATATCTTCTAAAATTTCTTACTTAGACTCTTTGCCCAATAACTATATCTTCTCCCTTCAGGACACTTTTGTTCTATAATAATAATCTACCATATTTTTTAAAACTGCAATCCAGAACTCTACTCTGAAAGCATAGGAGAAAGCCTGTACTGCACCTTTGCAGTTTGCCATCTTTCCTACACAGAATACAGATTTCAAAAACAACTCATTTCTAGGAAGAAGATGCTAAGGAAGCCCATCATCTCCTTTTAAGAATTTTTGGCAACTATACAAATGCACTTTAAAGTCTTAGGACATAATACAAAATGAGAAACTCTAGCTAGGCTTTACCAAGCTATCAAGAATAAGGTTTGACAAAACTGTTGTTTTACTAACACTTGTTTGCCTAGAGACAGATCCGTAAAGTAAGGGATGCCTTCAGACAAAATAATGGTATCTTGCTTATCATTAATCTAAAGCAACAACAATACATGTGAACCCCTTCCCCTAGGCCAGAAAATAGTGCAAGTCAAAATTACCAGGAAGAAAACATCAATGACTCTGACTAAAAAATATATAAATATAAAGAAAATACTACCTCAGAGGAAAAAGAAACATAACAGATGTCAATCAAAATATCTCTGAGCAGGGAGGTCCACTGGTACAAAAATAAAGATAAAATGCCAAGAGAAGGTTTCTTAAGAAAAATAACTTGGCAGGAAGTCTAATTTTATAATTGAATTTGCTTTCCTTACTGTTTAAGTTACTAATGGAGACCAAAAAAAAAAAGTTAAAAACATATATAAGTGAGGAAATAGGTAGTGAAATGTTTTTAATACACACATGCACTGAGACTCTAACTTTATCTTGAGTTTTATAGAAGAATTTAATTCCTATAGTGGAAGAATGTTATTCATTTGGATTTGAAATATTTTATTTTATTTTATTTTTATTTTTTTGAGGTAAAAGTCTCACTCTGTTGCTCTAGCTAGAGTGCAGTGGCATCATCATAGCTCAGCAAACTCAAATTCCTGGGCTCAAGCAATCTTCCTGCCTCAGCCTCCTGAGTAGCTGGGACTATAGGCACGTGCCACCACGCCAGGCTAATTTTTTCTATTTTTAGTAGAGACAGGGTCTTGCTCTTGCTCAGGCTGGTCTCAAACTCCTGAACTCAAGCAATCCTCCCATCTCAGCCTCCCAGGGTGCTAGGATTACAGGCGTGAGCCATCACGCCCAGACTGAAACCTTTTTGACATTTAACACAAAAGCCTTCAAAAGTACTAACCCAATCTTACTAAATTACTAAAGCCTTCAAAAGTACTAACCCAATCTTACAGCATAAAATTAATTTTGTTATATGTCTTCACTATCTGTATTTAAGAATTGAATACTTAATAGAAAAATACTCAAAGCTCAAAACAGCAAGCAGTGACCACAATTTCTCTGACAGCATTGGGAGACTTTCCTTTATATGTGAATACAAAAATCCACTTAGTTTTCCAACATCTTTAATCAAACTTGATCCATGTTAAAAGAGTTCTATTAGGTTCTCAGACCTCTTCAGATGCTCATGTCTCAGAAGGGCATCACTACTTGAAATCCTAAACCATTCACTTGCTATTTCTTAACAAAAGCTTGTGAAAATCATGTAAACTGTACCCTTATCTTTTGGATTACTATGGTTAAGTACAAAAACAATTCATTTAGCATCTTATAAATCATTAGAGTTACACATAAAAGCACCTACAAATTTTTAAAAAATAAAAGATTCACAGTGCACTGCACTTTGGAACATATAAAGGTTGGAACATAAGAACATTTAAAAAGAGAATTCTAAGTCTTATTCTCTCTCTCAAAGGCATAAAACATAATGAAGCCAACACAACTACTCTTCTCATCTAGCTTCTTAAAATGCAGCACTCAGTAGAAGTAAATTATTGCATATTCAGCATACTGCTTTATCACTTGATTTCCTCAAACCATGCTAAAATTTCTCAAAGGAGAAATCCAGTTCTGTGCTAAGCATGGCCTTTCTCAGGTACCCACTGAGAAACTAATACACAGGTTTGAGGGAATAAGTACAGTAGATGTACATAAAACAGGTACATCCAACTTAAAACATTTTCTGCATAGTTAAGTCACATCATACATATAAAACTTTAACAGACATCTTTTAACATTTTTTAACCCCAAACTGTCAAGAGAGCTAAAAGCCTGACATTATCATAATCGCATCCCAACAATACCCTTATTTTGTTCCACAGTGCATTAAATGAAGCAGCAAAACAGCAATAACATTTAACCATAGTTAAACTACTGTAATCGTAAAGATAATCTGTTGGTTCTTGGAAAGGCTCAACACCATTAGAGGCCATACTTCTGGTAACTAACTCTAATCTCTTTCACTTCAGTATTGAGAGCTGAAAAATCCAACTCTACAGGCACCAGAAAGACCGACCAAAGTACTCAACACACACTAAAAACTAAATGATTTCCAAACGACAGTTAACGAGTGAAAATTATTCATCTGCCAGGCAAACAATGTTTTCACTCCCTTAACAATTTAATAGAAATCTGGAATGCTGGGACCAACTATAAATATGGCTCAAGGAGACCCAAGCAAAGCAGCCGAATGTCTGAAAAGAATGGTAAGAGCTTCCAAACACAATCATATAATGCATTAAAAATCAAAGGTCACAGAAGGATTCACAAATTTGTCACATTAAAAGATGCAGGATTCTGAATAACATAATTCAATACACACTGTGGTAATTGTGGATTCTCCTGCTTAGCACCAAGAGGGTGACACTTTCATTAATAAATAGAGTTTCTCCTTTAAGATCAAGCCACTTAAAAGCTAAAGCAAAGTACTACCAAGTGAATTCCTTACAAAAGCCCATCCTTTAAAAAATCCCATGGGGTTAAGTAGAACCCCTATTAAATAAGCTACCTATAGAGAATAAAAATTTCTGCAATAACATTTACAAGCAGAAATATTCTGTGGATACCACTGTAAAACAAAATTTTTTTAACTCATATGAGAGATGGTGCACTTGCGCGCACACGCGCACGCGCACACACACACACACACTCTCTCTCTCTCTCTCAAACACCTCTCCCCCCCCCCCCCAACCCCCCCCCCCCCCCCCCCCCCCGCAAAAAAAAAAATCTTCAATGAGGTCAGATGCAGCCAAAACACTAAAGCCCATTAAAGCCCTGGTGATTGTCCTCAATTATAGCTGAAATCCTTCTTAAAATAGGCGCTGCCATCCTTATTTGGATTTAAGAATCCTGAAGGAGCAAAATACATTCCTAGGAGTGATGTATGTTACTTTCATGTAACATATACAATGTGTAACCTAGTGAAATGCTTTTTTTGTACTTGGGTAAACTGCATACCCCTTCCCTTCCCATTCTATCATCCAGGGGCTTCAGCATGCCAATAAAAGCATGTCAGTCTCTGCTACTATTGCAAATTGGAACCTAATATGACATCAGTTTCCATCCATCAACACTGAGATGCAAAGTAAAACCTAATAATGTCAGTTTTCCATACATATTTACAAACCAGAATATAAAAGAAATTCCACAAGAATAGTATCATTGTGTAATACTAAAGGGTTAGAGGCAAGATGGTAAAGATATGACCCAACCTGGCTGCTGGGTCCCAGCCTCCATGCTCTTTGCTACCCTCTCTCCAGCAGTCTCACAGGTTTACTACTGACTGCATGCCACACAACTTAAAACTATAGTGTCAACTCTCCACCAACTCAATCCCCCTCTAGACTGCAGACTTGTCCTTGTGAAGTGCTAAGAGTTCGGTTTGAATGTGAACATTACACTGCAGAAGCTGGCTCCAAATAAATTCTTTTAACAAAACTCCAAACAGAGAAGATCAGAGAGCATCAGTGGTTAGAAGCAAAGAAATGCACAAAATGCCATCAAAGTAGATGACCTGCAATCTTGACATATGTGACACTTCAGCTCTTGTGTTCACTTAATAATTGGTATTTTAAGTTTCTTCTAAAAACTTCAATATAAGTAAACTACTACTACAATTACTATAATGGGTAACAGAGCATTCCCATTAACTTGGCTACTTGATAACTCAAAACGCTATTTTCTTGACTAGAATACAAAATAAAACCCACAGTAGCACAGAATAAATGCCCTCAAAAAAAGCAACTTAAACTTGTACCAAACACTGAAAAGGTAAATCTGTATAAAAGGTTATAACTGCATTTACAGTGCAAACTCATGTTTTCTTTCAACTTTCTTCTGCACAGATAATCTCTTCAGAAACATTGCCTCCCTGCATTTCTTTAAAACACCTGAGAAAGGTAAGGCTTGAGGAGACACTCACTAAAATGCAACAGGTCTCTGATCTTGGGACTTCTAGAATACATCTGCTATCAAAGGTCCAAGATCTTCATTATAGCATTATGGTCAAACTTGAAACTCAAAAAGGCTCTGGATGAAAAGGGGAACTTGCAATGTCCATTACATGCCACAGACTGTCCCTCGGCATGTTCTAGCAACTGATCTTCACCGGAGCAAGGTAAGTCATAAACAGCATCTGTTTAAAAAATTTAAAAAGATAAGCTCAGTAACCTTATTTAAGGAATCAAATATTGCCCTTGTCTTTGTTCTAAATGACTTCATATAGAGTATGTATTTATCTTTTCACACTCTAAATTTAACACCAAGTAGGACCACCAAGATACATATTTTTCCTTTCCCTAAATTGGTGCTCAACTGAATTTCTAATCTACAGGGTGTCCCAAAAGTCACCATACACAGGGAAAATGAGAAATTGTAGCTAAATACGTACAAAAAATATTCATTACAAAATTGGTCTTTTGTATGAAGACTTTCAAGACATGGTGTATTATTGCCTATTTCCACAAAAACATTCAAAATTTTAAATCGTGTTTAAGACTTTTGACACTCCTTTGCTTTCAAAAATGGGCACACCTTTCTCTACCTCTTATACTTGTATTTTGTGCTAACATAATGAATGGAAGTGTCCTGACAGAGATCAAAACGAAAGTATTATAAATAGTCCAATTACACTGTACTATAAAGATTACAATTCTAGAAAAATAAAGCTACAGTTTAGTAAGTCTTCCAGAAATATATCAACCAAAGAAAAATCCAAATTTTCAAAATCACAGTACAACAAAACTCTAATTTACCTGGGCTTTTTTCTTTTAAATAGAGCAGGAATTTGACCAGGAAAGTAGGTTTGGAATGGACATCAAAAAGCAGAGGCAGAAAGTTAAGTCTGAAATGAGGCCTCCCAGGACAAGAATCCTTTTATACTTCTTTCTCAAGACAACTCAAAGTTTTATAAATCCATATTATGCCCAACTATGCTGGATATACTTAGTTATATACGTATGTGCTTTCTTTAATGTTCCTAAACATTAAATAACTCATTAAATTACATAAATAACTGATTTCTGGATATATATTGATTAGATTTAACTATCAGCCTATCATCTCCAACACTCAAGGTAAGGTGACCAAAAAAAATCCTAGTAAGGACTTCTACCCCCATAACTTCCCTATACTTAACTCCGATGAGGGCAAAGGATAGATTCTTCAATAAATGGTGCTGAGAAAACTGGATATCCACATGTAAAAAAAACTGTATCCTTATCTTACACCATACACAAAAATGAACTCAAAATGGGTTAAGACTTCAATGTTGGCCCTGAAACCATACCACTCCCAGAAGAAAACAAGGGGAAAAGCTCCTGGACACTGGCCTTAGCAATAATGTTTTTATACGTCACAGAAGCACAGGCAACAAAAGCAAAAATAAACAAGTGGGACTACATCAAACTAAACTCTAATGATAGTTCCTAATTATTCATAGTTAACTTTAACTTTTCGTAATAGTGTTTAAGCATCTCCTTCATCTTTTTCAATAGCTTTTATCTTTCTTAAATCACAGACAATAATATAGAGAAGGAATATAACATTGCTTTTCACTTCTTAGACTTTTCTATATGAATGCCTTAAATTTAGATGGCAAATAAATGCAATCACTGCACAGGAAATTTCATACAATTAAAAATAACACCTAAGAAACAACAGTATACCACACCTCCAAATGACACCTATTAAAACAGTATTACCAAAGAGCTTTCTACATTCATTAGGATTATTTTCCAAATCAGACAACACACCCACTTTTCATATTACAACCATCATTGTAGTAAAAGCTATCCTTAGGACTGCCTTTAAAAGCTGATTATCATTACCTCCAAAAAGAGGAAAATGTTTCCCTTCTGAAGTTAGTGCATCCCTTATATGTACGTGAGAATGGGGATTCCTCACTTTTATAAAACTTCGTTCTTTCCACTACATCTAATCCTCAATATTTATTTATTTATAATATTCATGCATTGTACTGAGTCTTATATTCACAAAACAGCACAGTCAAAAAGCAAATAATTTCATTTTGTAATCATCTAATTCATTTTAACCAGTTTCATATTTAGATATCTTCACACATATGAACTCTTTCTACAGAACATAAGCAACTCTTCCTGTGTAACTACCAGTTCGTCACATATGCCACTAAAATCAAAGTTAGGTAAAACCCAACCAATTCACACAAGGCAGAGATTTTAAAAAGTGACTTGCCTGTTTCAAAATTATCCTGAAGCTTTCGTGGATGAAGTTTCTTTTCACATTTCTATTAAAAAAAAAAAACACACACACACACAGCCCACACACAATCCCCAGTTATTTAACATATTAAAAACCAAGAGCTATATTATCAAATTTCTCAGGGAGAAAATTTAACTAGGAATATAATCCCCATCCCATGTCTCTTATTTTTGAATTTTGTATTTAGTTTATACAGCTAAAACTTTTTTCAATTTGTGATCACATGCACATTATAAAGACACCAGAAAAAGAAAAGTATTATTCATTACATTTCTCAACTTGAGCTAATTACTATTAACACTGCCGTATCTTTCCAGCATTTTGTCCATGAAGATATGTATATGTTCATATATCTTCACATAACTGTATAAATTTTAAATGGAATTATAATACTACCATCCTATAACCTTTTAAAATCTAGTATATTGTGAATAAATTCTTTTTTCAATAACTACAACCTACATAGTCATTTTTACTGACTTGATGGTAATCTACTATATAGATCTATGATTCTATAGTTAATAACATCTTGGATATTTACATTGTTTCCATCTTTTCATTAGTATAAAGAATGAGGGGGTGAATATTCTTTAAATTTCCCTTCTAGGAAAATAAGTGTTTTGGTGGTGGTTGTTTTTATTACGAGACAGGGTCTTACTCTGTTACCCAGGCTGGAGTGCAGTTTGATATAGCCCAACTCCTCTCCAGAAGGTTGTACCAATTCGTAATTTTTATGTGTTGTTCATGCACTCAATAATACACAACTGGGTATTACTGATCTTTTCATCTTTGCAATCTGAAGGGATAAAATGGTATCCCATCTTAATTTACATTCTTTGACTACACATATTGTTTGACATTTTTCATGTTTATCATTTTTATTTTTTCTCTTATAAACTGTTTATATATTGTTCTCCATTAATTTTCTTTTTTAAAAACTTAAAAAATCTATTTAAGTTCTTCTAAACAAATATGAGAGTCATTTGTGAAGTTCCTCCAAAAAACATACAAGGATTTTGACTGGTAGCAACTTGAATTTATATTTAACTTATGGAGAATTAATATTTGTATAGTATTATCAATAAAAAGTATCTGTCCCGTTTTCATTAGAATTCAATTTTATTAAAAACTTTTTAAATCATCTATTGTCTCCTTTGTTCTTATCACTACCTTCAATCAGAGAAAAGTAAAGTAATGGTAACAGGCAAGTAGTCTGCTAATAAACCAATCTTCAACATAGATTTATTGAATCATTACACCTCAAGTTAAATAAACAGCATCCAGGGAATTCAGGTAAAATGTTTTTGCTAAAAATTTGAAATTACTATTACCACTCTCTGTTAAAGAAATGAAAAATAGGTGAAGCTACAATAAAAAAATCCAACATTCAGATATCAGGCAGGACTTACAGAAAACATAAGGGAGGAGACCATTAGCTATGAATTACCTTCTGGAGCACAAACTAAATAAAAGAATGAAAGGAATATTCAACCCTCCACTAAATTTGACTGGCTTTAAAAAAAAGAAAGGAAATGCCATAAAATGTTCACAACTATTTGTCTTCAGGCCTAGTCTAATGACAATGGCACTATCTATGGATGTTTTATTTATTTTTAATCTTCTAAACTCTATCAACTTGAAGATAAAAAAAAAAATACATGATGAACTTCTCCCAATTTTTAACTTCATTACAGTAACATAGAATATTGAGAAAAATACAAGCAAAACGATTAGCCAAAAAATTGCTCTAGAACTGGTTTGACTACATGTTATTTTCTGTGGCATTAAGATAAATATAAATAGCCATATAAAAAGCGAAGATTGGGCCAGGCACAGTGGCTCACACCTATAATCCTAACACTCTAGGAGGCCAAGGCAGGAGGATCCCTTGAACTCAGGAGTTCAACACCAGCCTGAGTAAGAGCAAGAAACCATCTCTACTAAAAAATTTTTTAAAGAAAGGGAACATTAGATGTGCAGTTGAATCAATGTTATAAACCTGTAATTAAGAGCGGCCAAAGAGATTTTTAGTGTGAACAGTGTAGAATTTAGCTCCATAAAAATCCTATCAAGGCCGGGCGCTGTGGCTCACGCCTGTAATCCTAGCTCTTGGGAGGCCGAGGCGGGCGGATTGCTCAAGGTCAGGAGTTCAAAACCAGCCTGAGCAAGAGCGAGACCCCGTCTCTACTATAAACAGAAAGAAATTAATTGGCCAACTGATATATATATATTAAAAAAAAAATTAGCCGGGCATAGTGGCACATGCCTGTAGTCCCAGCTACTCGGGAGGCTGAGGCAGCAGGATTACTTGAGCCCAGGAGTTTGAGGTTGCTGTGAGCTAGGCTGACGCCACGGCACTCACTCTAGCCTAACAGAGTGAAACTCTGTCTCAAAAAAAAAAAATCCTATCAATACATCAATTAAAATTCAAAGCAAATAACATTAATGTGCCTTGACAGTACCCTTGCTCCACTCTTAAAAGGGTGAAGTGCCTATACTTAGCACAGGAGCTGTAACTCTTACCATCAAAGAATTCTGCTGCTTTGCTGGCTGGCTGTGGACCCCATTTGTTCTTTTCTTTTGATTAGGTGAGTCTTGGTACTGTTTTCTGCCATTTCCCCTCATATTTTGATTCTGTTTTTCCAATAAGAAATAAAATATGCATCTATAGTATAATGTAATATTAGCACAAAAGAATACAATCCCCTGGCTATGTTTAGCTGGTTCAAGCAAGTTGTAGGCAACCTCTGTCCCCCACCCAATTTTCATAAATCACCATATCAATGTATTTTTTTATAGAAGATAGGGCTTCACAAAGCAAGATTCCCCTAAAGGTATGAAATAGCAAATATAATGGTCCCTAGAAATCTTCCACGCCTGTTGCCTTATCCTATATCTACTTACAGATTTTGTTTATAATACATAAATGGACTCTCTGTGAGGGAATGCTGATGCACACTGGCCACAGCAAGAAATAGGAAGCAAATGTGATCAACTGCTACCTTGAAAATCTGTTTTAAATTATTAATAAACAAATAAGCACTATCAAATGAATAATCACTTTTACAAAATAATGAAGACTGGTGTTTTTAAAATTTGGGCCATTATTCCTAAATTTAGAGATAAAACCTAAACATGCAGTTGTTTATATCTTGCTATTAAACTACTTTAAACCAATCATGGTGGTTCACACCTGTAATCCCAGCACTCTGGGAGGCAGAGGATCACTTGAGGCCAGGAGTTCAAGACCAGCATGGGCAACATTAATGGGATCCCCTTTCTACAAAAAATTTAAAAATTAGCTGGATGTGGTGGCACTCAACATAGGAACACTGTCACTTATAAAAAATTTAAAAAAACAAACTGCTTTCACAGGAGTTAATTTTCCCACCAAAAAAACCCCTAAGTTTAAATTAAAACACATAAACTTTCTTTTCAGAGACAGGGTCGCACTCTGTCGCCCAGACTAGAATACAGTGGTATAATACAGTAGTGATGTGATCATAGCTCACTGCAACCTCCAATGCCTGGGCTCAGGCAATCCTCCCACCTCAGCCTCCCCAGTAGCTAGGACTATAGGCATGTGCCACCACACCCAGATGATTTTTCTATTTTTGGTAGAGATGGGGTCTCACTATGTCGCCTAGGCTGGTCTCAAACTCCTGGCCTCAAGCCATCCTCCTGCCTCGGTCTCTCAAAGTGCTGGTATTACAGATGTGAGTCACTGTGCCCAGCCTATTTATTACTATATTTCACTGTGGTACAACAGACATAAAATGTACCATTTCAACCACTTGTAAGTGTATAATTTAGTGGCATTAAGTAACAGCCACAATGTTGTGCAACCATCACCACTATGGCTTTCCAAACTTTTTTTCATCATCCCAAACTTTGTGGCCAATAAACAATTACTCCCTATTCTTCCTTCCCTCCAGCCTCTGGTAATCTCTAGTCTACTTTGTGTCTCTATTAATTTGTCTAATCTAGGTACCTCATCTAAGTAGAATCATACAATATTTGTCTTTCTGTGTCTAGCTTATTTCACTTAGCATAATGTCCTCTAGGTTCACCCAACTTGTAGCATGTTATCAGAATTTCATCTCTTAAAGGCTGAATAATATTTCATTGTACATATGTACCGCTTTTTGTTTACCCATTCACCTGCTGCCAGGCATATGGGCTATTTCCACCTCTGAGTATCATGCATAATGCCAATGTGAATATTAATATACAAGTTATATGTTAAAGTCCTTGCTTTAAATTCTTTTGCATATACACCTAGGAGGAGAATTGCTGAGTCCTATGGTAACTCTACCATTTAACTTTTTAAGAAATCTCAAGTTGTTTTCCAAGAGAGCTGCATCATTTTACATTCCCATCAGGAATGCACAAGGGCTCCAATTTCTCCACATCCTTACCAATTCTTGTTACTCTCTGCTGTTATTTTTGTTTTTTATTAAAGCCATCCTATGGATAAGAAATGGTATCTAATTGTGGTTCTGATTTGCTTTTCCCTAATGATTAATAATGTTGTTGTGTGCTACAGGTATGTTAAAAAAAATAATAATGTTGAACATCTTTTTGTACATTTATTGGCCATTTGTATAACTTCTTTGGAGAACTATCCAAGTCCTCTGCCCATAATTTCATTGGGTTTTTTTGTTGTTCTGAGTTCTAGTTCTTCTTCATATATTTTAGAACTGAATCCCTTATTATATATGATTTACAAATATTTCCCCCCTTTTGTAAGTTGTTTTTACTTTTGATAGTGTCCTCTGAAGCACAAACGTTTTTTAACTTTCATAAACCCAGTATATTTTTAAAAAGAAAAATGAAAATAAAAATAAGAGCAGTCCCCAAATGGACAGTTAAAAAAGACAATACCAAGTATTAGTAAGGATGCAGGACAATTAGAATTCTCATGTATTTTGCTAGGCATATAAATAACTTGAGAAAATTAGTTCCAAGTATATACTTAATAACCAATGAGCCAATACTTCTACTTTTAGTTACAAAAAAGAATTGTGTCCATTTATCAGAAGACATGTATCAAAAATAGCAGCACTGTTAAAGCCCCAAACTGGAAACAACCAAAATATCTATTAAAGGTGGACTGGATAAATTGTGATACAACCATACACTAGAATAATGAAAATAAAATTTTACAATACACTGTTAATGTTTTCCCAAACAAAAGCCAATAGATCTTATTTATCTTAAATTGGAAGATATGTCTTTTATGACTTATTTTTAAATGAACCTTTCGCTAGCATTATGTATATCAAAGTCAGATACTAACTCCTATTACTTACTTTACTGGATTTATACCAAAGCTATAAATATTAAGGAGTCTCAGCCCTAAGGGACACAGCAGCCTTTGATCAACAATTCAGAGCTCTATAACTATTAATATGCAATGCCTCAATTTAGAATGATTTCAAAGCCAAATGATCTAAATTTCTGAAAAATTTTAATTGTGTATCACTCACCTTTGCTTTTAAAAGGTCAGACATTTCAGAATGATTATTATATGGCTTTTGCTGCAGTGGCTGCCTGTGCTTTACCCACTGGTCACCAGGAGAACCATCAGGAAATAACTGTTGACTGTGGCGGAATTTGGTTCGACTATATCAAGATTTTAAAAATAAAAATCAGATCAGGAAGTTTTCACTTATAGTTCTTATAATACCTGAATAGTTTATTTTACAGACTAAATATTTTACTTTCTTATTTATCGTCTACCTCTCCCCACTGGAATGTAAGTTCTAAGAGGGCAGAGATTCTTGTCTGCTTTATCTACAACTTTATCCCTAGCACCTAGAGAAAGCCTGACATTCAATAAATATTTCTTGAATGAATAACCCTATTATTTCATCCCAGACATTTAAAAATTATCCATATTATCTCCTCCCTATATAAGTGATTATACTGTGCTGTTAAAAATCTGAAGAAAATAATTACTTCTAAATTTAGCTGAAATGAATGTAAGTGCATTTTCCTTATTAATAGGACAAGCAACTCATATTCTTGCTAAGATGTTTAAAGTATGGAATTTGATCCTGTACAGGTCAGTTATGGATCCCATCCATACTATAAGAGGATCTGAGAAATTAAGCTATTTTCTAAAGCAAAAAATTAAGGGGCACAGACAATGAATTAGCAACTCAATAAAGATCCAGTCTCAAATTCTTATGCAAAAGAATCTGACTTTGAAAAACTACTCAGGTGGTAATTTGCAATATGAGGTAAAAAAATCTCATTATATAGTACCACGTCCATGTATAATATATTCCAGAGTTAACTGATCCCAAGAATCACATTATAGTAAGATTATTTCAGAATACTTCAGAGTTCTTCTCCTTTCCCATTTAAAAACAATAAAATTTTAGTCTATCCTTTCTCTAGATAGGATTCAGATATTTCCTCCAACACATGAGAGACATTAGTCTATATTCTAAAAAAAAAAAAAAAAAACACACACATAAAAACCTGAAATTTGTTTAAAGAAGTTGCTTTATCATCTCCTTACCCACTCACCAAGACCACAAACCCTTGGACTAAGATAGGGAACTCATACCACACACTATGGTCGACAGATTCTTCCAAACATGAACATTCATATAATTCTTTTATCAAACACTGTCAATATTTCCTAATTTTTTTGGCAGTATCTTTGTTTCTTTTTATCTTGGCTGCATTCCTGTCTACATTACTTTTTCTACACTGTTTCACTTATCTCTGTAGTATATAACTTGGTTATTATAACTATAGATTCTGAAGGGCATCTCCAGGCATTTAGTCTAAGCTCCTGTCCTCATAAAACCCATCTAAAATAGAATGCTACCTATTTTAAAGCTATTGACTATACATGTGGTTTATTCCTATTAATTTCTGAAGCTCTATGATAAAAGCTGAACATCCAAATTGGAGAAAATGTAAAAATCAACTCTCTCTGAACCTAACATAGGTAAAGTTCTAATAAACTGATGCCAAAATTATATGATTATTTAATAAAGTTACTTCCCCAGCCTACTCTGTGTGATTTGGATGCAATTAAGTTCCAAGGAAGAAAACAGTTTGTTCATAGTTCATGTCCATATAATAGTTACTCTTTATAATATATACAATCTATGCTAGGGAAAGAAAAAAAAGCAAGCCCAAGTCTTCGCCATTCTTTGACTTTAACAAATTATACATCGACATCTGTCATCTCCCTTGGACAAAAACAGACCTCAATATCCCAATCGTCTTCACAAATTCCCTTATCTCTAAAGTTGGCTATGAGAACAGAGAACTATAATAACACTGTGAATACACACAAGTTTTTCTTTTCCTAGTGTTCTATCTATCCACTTGAAAAGTTGGTATCCTCTTGAGTATATTATTTTAAAATGTGCCTGAAGCTCTTTTCCAACTGCAATTAACCTTTTACATCTCTTAAAAATCTTCTATTACCTGTGAGACCAATAACGAAATAATAACTATAAAAAGGAATCCTATACCTCTGCAAACTTTAGAAGCAAAATGCTACTATATTAAAAAAAACTATCATGAAGTCAAAATTCAACATATTCAATTCAATATATCCAATAATTCCATAAGTGTATTTCTTTACCTCAATTTTTCCACAGTGTAAGGTTTAGCTGGTGTGCTACCAGCTGAGGAAAATCCATTGTCACTATCTGAGGAATCTCCAAATCTTCGAGAAAGCCAGTCCCTTAATGGTCTATGGAAATAAGAATAATTCACTTTTAGGCCAAGGTGGGAGGATCGCTTGAGGCCAGGAGTATGAGACTAGCCTGTGCAACCCATTCAGACTCCATCTCTATAAAAAAATTTAAAAAATTAGCCAAGCGTGGTGGTGTGTCCCTATAGTCCCAGCTACTCTAGGAGTCTAAGGCAGCAAGATAGTCTGAGCTCACGAGTTTGAGATTGCAGTGAGCTATAATGATATGACTGCACTCTAGCCCAGGCAACAGAGTGAGACATTGTCTCAAAAAACAAAAAAAATAACAGAATTCACTTTTAAAATCTGGCTGTAGAAAGAAACTATCAGAATCATGAAGGTTATTTCTAAAGAAATACGAACATACCTGATAAAGGGAATGGCCATAAAAAATTTGTTAGGTGCCAAACCAAGCTTGGATTTTGGGGTCATATCATTTCTATGACAAGGCAATTTCTCAATGGAGAACCACTCAATGTTCTGAAACACAAAAGAAAATAATCCATTTAGTTAATTATTATGAAGGAGTTTCTAAAAGAAATTCCCTACTTCATTCAATTAGGATACTGTCCAGCAATCTGAAAATACTACCAATTGTTACATACCCGAATTTCTCTCCTGGTTTTCGGGTTAAATTTTGTGTCTTTTGGAATTCCTGGAATAATGTACAAGCGAGCAAGCTGGTCATTGATTCGAAGTTCAATGTAATCATCCTTACAAATATAGTCTTTGATATCAAAACCAGTTTCTTCAAAGACCTGGAAATAACAAATGTGGATGAAATTTTCACTTTTAGCTTTTAGACCTCCAGTTCATTAAAATTCATTTCAAAGACAAAAATTCAGAAAAGGGGAATCATTTGTATTTACTACTTCAGAAATGGCAGAACGGGTACAGAAGCATAAATGTGATATTGAAAAAAAAGAAAGTTCTTGTGTCCTACGTTTCTCTATATCCACATCTGGTACTTTGGGTACACACAGAAACAGACCACTGGCATTCAAACATACCAAAACTATACACCTTTCCCAGAATAAAATTCTGAATGTTCAGTGACAGAGGTTTCATGGCGTCCCACCTTTCCAAATCTTAACAGAAGACGATGTAATTAAACCATTAGTCACATGGATTTATCTTATAATTCATGCATGCTGTCTGAACATTCCCATTAAAGCAAAAGTCCAGATGCTTTGGTTCTTCTTCTTTGAAACTAAGGTCTAATCTACTGCTTTAGACAAGCTTAAAAAACATTTTTGACTAATAAATCAAACTTAATGGGCTATTAGATTTATAGCTGTAACAATTAAGAATAGTTTACCTAAAAGTTTACATATCAATATATGGAATTGCTTCTCTTCATTAAAGACACCCGTAAGAGAGTCAAAGGGAAAACATAAATCAAAGACACAATCCATTCATATCCAATATATATTAAAAAAACTCACATATATACACATACATACATATCAATAAGACAAGTAACTCAACTTTTAAAAAATGGGTAATATCTAAATGGGTACTTAATAAAAGGGAATATTCGAATAGCCATTAAGAACAAATATGACAAGGTGCTCAACATCATTAAACTTCGGGGAAAATGGAAGTTAAAACAACAATGATAAACCATTACATTCCCACCAGAATAGCTAAAAATTTTTTAATTTGACAATTTGGTGTATACGCCAGGATCTGTTCATTGCTGTTGGGAATGTAAATTGGTACAACTACTTGGAAAACTATTAGCAGTAGCCTCCCTATTACTCAGCAAGTCCAGTCTTAGAGAAATATGGGTCTCTTTTCCTCAAAGGGCATATACAGGCCGGACGTGGTGGCTCACACCTATAATCCTAGCACTCTGGGAGGTCGAGGCAGGAGGATCGCTTGAGCCCAGGAGGTTGCTGTGAGCTACACTGATGCCACGGCACTCTAGCCTGGGCAACAGAGCAAGATGCTGTCTCAAAAAAAAAAAAAAGAGCATATACAAGAAATAGACACAGCAGCTTTATTCACAGTAGCAAAAACTGGATACAAATCCAATGTGTAAGAAAATGGACAAAGTTATAATATTTATACACTGGAATATTAATAGAGAAAAATAAAAAGAACCAACTATGGATACATGAAACAAGATGCATCTCACAGGCATTATGTTGAGCCAAAGAAACCAAACACAAAAAGTCACAACTGCAAATTTTATTTACACAAAGCTCAAAAACAAGCAAAACTAATCAATGGTAACAGAAGGCAAAACAATGAGTCCCTTCAGGAAATGTGGGAAAAGGTGGGTATTGATTGGGAAGTGACAGGCAGGACTCTCCTTAGGTGTTATCAGTGTTCTGTATCTTTTTTTTTTTTTTTGAGAAAGTCTCTCTTTGTTACCCAGGCTAGAGTGCTATGATGCCAGCCTAGTTCACAGCAACCTCAAACTCCTGGGCTCAAGAGAGCCTCTTGCCTTAGCCTCTCAATTGGCTGGGACTGCAAGTATGCACCACCAAGCCTGGCTAATTTTTTCTATTTTTAGTTGCCTGACTAATTTTTTCCTATTTTTAATAGAGACTTTAGTAGACTCTTGCTCAGGCTGGTCTCCAACTCCTGACCTTAAGAGATCCTCCCACCTTGGCCTACCTAAGGGCTAGGATTATGTGCCCCTGTCATGTTCAGTACCTTGATCTGGGTGGTGCTTTCACAGCTATATACATATATAAAAATGAATAAACTGTTTAGTGTACTTTATATGTTTTAGCTTCAACAGAAAATTTGGTTCTTAATTCTATTTTTACATAATCTCTTGACTTCCTTCTTTGAATAATACCACATTATCAGAAATAAGTATGCACAGCTAGTCACATAAATCTGTATAATAATTAGGAACAATGCTAAAAGTAAACTGCATAATCTAAATTCCTTGGGAGCAGAACCTATTATCTATGTGTTACAAATAGCATCTAACTAAATAAAAAAAGTATTGAAGGACAGAGGACTGTATCAGATTAAAGGAGACTGAAAGACATACCAACTAAATGCAAATGCAATAAATGAGCCTGGATAGGATCCTAGATGGGGGTTTTGGGGTGGAAACTGTGGAAAGGATAATGGGCAAATAGTGTATTTGAATATGAACTGTCCATTAGATAACAGCACATCAATGTTACATTCCTGCATTTGATAACTACACTGTGACTACCCTAAGAGAATTATTTGTTTTTAAAAGATATGCAGAAGTATATATTTAACTATAAAGGGGCATTTTGTCTGCAACTTACTCTTAAATAATTCAGCAATAATAATAAAAGCTATATACACACACACATCAAAAGTAATAAATATGGCAAAAGATTAACCAGGGTCTATTCTTTGTATTAATCTCCCTACTTTTCTATTTGAAATTATCTCATTATTCATGTAATTTTTATGAAGTCATATGTAACCCAAATGCTTAGTTCATTTTAGTACATCCATTCAAATATGTACTGTGTACCTAGGCAATGAATTCAGTAATGAATAAAGCAAGCACTGTCCTTTAAGGAGTTCAGTTTAAAAAGAAAAAAAATTAATTGTAATTTGATGTTTAAGTGTTAAGAGGTAGAAAGAGGATGCCTAACTCAGCCTTTTGTAAAGGTGTGTGAGAGTTGGGGCGGTCACCTTTGGAAGTCTGTAATGGATGGCATCTTATTCTGCTGGACAACTTCAAGGTAGGACTTAAAAGATGAATAGGAGTTTGCCACATAGATAAGAAGAAAAGGCATTCCATTTGGATAGCTGGGAATGCCTATAACTAAAGAATTACATGCAAAATGAAGTGGTACAATAAGAGGCAAAATGAAAAGGGCCACCAGCACTAATCCAGGCAGCTTCAAACTATACAACCAAAGCCAGAATAAAAATAACAGAGAAAACACATCTCAATCCTAAAAGTGATATACATTTGCCCCTAAAATAAGGCATTCACTCTCATCAAATATCTACCAGGAGTAAGTTTTTTTTTTTTTTTTGATTCATGGTCTTTTATTTTTTTTTTCTTGACCTGACAAATATGACTGGTTACGTGTTTTTTTTGTTTGTTTGTTTGTTTCATTTTTTTTTTTAATTTTTTTTTATTTTGGTATATCAGGAGTAAGTTTTAATAGCTGACTTATATGTACAGACTCCAGAAAAAATTTTAATACCATACCTTCTGTGAATCAAATCTATTATTGTATTATTAACTATGTACAATACATAGTTAATTTTTCTGGCACATGGAGCAGCATTAACTCTCAAATTTATCAAATAAAAATCCCCATGTAAAAGGTTTTTTTAAGAAGTGTTAACTAAAGAGAACTGGCACAGGGAGACAATGAAATTGTTTATAATATTTGTCCTATAAGCCTATAGAAAGAGGTAGACTAAGCCCACCAGTAGTTTCTCTGTACAAATTCTGTGAATTAAATCATATAAATGCATATTGAAGTCAGCTTCATTATAATAAAACATGTTGTTTTGCCAAATAATAAGCCACAGTATAAAATCTTGAAACTACAAATGAACTGCCAAGTATCACTTGCTTCTTCTCAACAGTTGACGTTTCACAACAAATGACAACAAAAACACACTGGGTTACTATGCCTTCAATAGTATCTAGGAAACATTTTTCACATCTTTGTCCTGTTAAATAAAATTTATAAGAAGCTATGGTTTGGACTGATCTCCTACACTAGGCCCCAACAGACCAAACCAAAATGGAATTAATCATGCTAAAGTCCCATGTGTCCCATGTCACCAAACCAAAACTATTAATAAATTGTTTATCTGACCTTCAGAAATCAGGAGAGGGAGAGATAACATAGCCAAATCCCCAAACAGCCCAGTTTTAATCGTCATAAGGAAGTCCCCTTTGCTTTGTAACCTTTACGGTGAAAGTAACTGAAAAGATCAATCTGTGTTTTGTTTTTTGTTTTGCTTTCCTCAGTCCTTTTTCTGTCCTTAAAACCAACCCTGTTGGTGACCAGCCTAGACCAGTAAGACCCCATCTCTACAAAAAAATTTAAAAATTAGATGGGTGTAGTGGTGCATGCCTGTAATCCTAGCTACTGGGTAAGCTGAGGCAGGAAGATCACTTGTACCCAGGAATTCAAGGCTATAGTGAGCTATGATCAAGTGAGACCTTGTTTCTAAAAAAATTAAAATAAAGTAAAAGAATTTAAAGGAAAAAACTCCAAATTCCTCTGTTCAGCTAATCCGAACACTCATTCTATTTTATAAAATGAAGTGTTGCCTGATTCTCGAATAACAAAGCCAGTCCCAATCTTTAAATTTATTATAATTTTGTCTTTTGACAGTCCTAAATACTTCACGGAATAAAATTGTTCATAAATAATCAAATTAACAAAGGTGAACCAAGAAGTCAAATAGAAGATTTGAAATTACTTAAGACTGTCCTTAGCTTTCTATTGATAATTATTTATACCTTCTCCTGGAGAAGCTTGTTTACCAGAGCTGCTGTAGGTTCAGCCACATACACAGTCCTGTTTTGGGATGTGTCAAAACAAAACACTTCAGTACTGTCAGTTATGTTGAAATAACAACATAACTGTAGGAATGCTATGATAAACCAAATAAAAATGCTATTAGGAATTAAGGGTAAGCATCCATGGTAGAACTGTGTAACTTAAAAAAGAAGTGCTTAAGATACCAGCCTAAGTTTAATTAGCAGCTAGAAAATTAGGACAAAACCTTTCCCTGTATGTTAATACAAGTAAAAATCAAAAGGAAAAATGAGGCATTAATAAATTATAAAGAATGGAATAACAATCTGGTTTACAACCAAGACTTACCACTGGTGGTTTCCCCGCTTTTAAGCAGTGCTGCTTCTATTATGCTGCAGTACCACCAAGTGGCAGAAGGACATACTACAATTCTAGGACTGTTAATTGAATACTTTTCATTATTCAAAACTGGCAACTGCTACAGACTGGACTGTGTCCCCCCTCAACCAAATTCTTATGCTGAAGTCCTAACCCATAATGTGCCTGTATTTGGAGATAGGACTCTCAGGAGGTAACAGAGGTTAAGTGAGGTTTGTAAGGGTGGTGCCCTCATCTGATAGAGCTGCTGTCTTTATATGAAAAGGACAAGACACCTGAGCTCTCTCCACATGCACCCAAGAAAGGTCAAGTGAGCACACAGCAAAAGGCAGTTGTCTACAAGCCAGGAGGACAGCCCTCACCAGGAATCAAATCAGGTAGCTCCTTGATCTTGGACTTTCCAGCTGTCAGAACTACCCTACTTCCCTTGCCCTAAAAATAAATTTTATTCGTGCACTTTCTTACCAGTTAGGGTGAGTTATAGTCATTACTGAAATTAGCACCACATAAACAGAACAATCTTTTATCTTAGTATTAATATCTTAAAACAGAAAACAAATACCATAACCAATACAAAAACGGGGTGCCAGAGTTCACAGGTAACTACCTCTCTTGCCCCAAATAATGTATTTTTGCATTATTCTTACTTTTTACAATATAGTGTATAAAACTCCTCATATGGAAACATCTAAGTTGATCTCTTGGGTTCTGGGGCACTACTTAACAGTTCTGCAAGTTTAAGAACAGTAGTCCCCCCACCTTCCCCCTTCTCTGTGGCATTGCTTTCTGGATTTCATTTATCCCAAAGTCTGAAAAGTGAGAACAGTAAAATAAGATATTCTGATAAGATATTTCACATAATTTTTATTATAGTATATTGTTATATTTATTGGTTATGTTGCTAATCTTGTACTGTGCCTAATTTATAAATTAAACCTTATCATAGGTAGACAAGCATAGGAAAAAACATAGCATATATACGGTTCCCTACTATCCACGGTTTCAGCAATTACTGGGGACCTTGGAATGTATCCTCAAGTAGTATCCATAGTAGTCCCAATAAGATGGGACTACTGTGTTTGATTTCTCTCAAGTTCCCCCCAAAAGATCCAATTATACAGACAGATGATCCCACCCAATTTAACCTAAATTTTTGCTATTCCAGCTAATGTAATGTCCTTTCCTGACCTAGACAACAACCATGCTGACAAGGGGAACCTGTGGCCTCGGGGTCACCAAATCCACAATTGTGGCTCCTCAACCAAATCCAAACTTCTCCGACCAAATTTGGATTCAGTCAAAAGGCTGCACTCAACCATTCAGAAGGCCATATGTGGCCTTGAGGCCGCAGGTTCCCCACTCTATCTTGTCCTTCCCTATGAGCAAGAGCACTACAACATTTAAGTACATAAAAGGGAAGACATTTACAACTGACCTCCTGCCATCTACAGAAATGAAAGGAAAAGCTTTTAGAGGATGTGGCAATTTCTTACCTTCTTCTCTCCAAACATCTTTCAATTTTAAGGAATGTACATAAACCTTCACTGACTTGCATACAATTTTGTCTATTAGCTACTGCAAATACTAGCTTGGATAACATGTTGCTGAATTTAAAATACAGCATTTTCAATCATTTTATCAATCCTACTCCAAAGTAAATAACTACTAATGGTTTTTCCATGGTAAATAACCACTAGTAGTTCATAAGAATTTTAACTATTATCCCGCATAAATAGTTACAACCAAACTTAAACTAAGCAGTAAACACTGCTGCATGAAAACATTAAGTCCAAACACATGCAAGGCAATGGATTCTAATGAAATATGCCACAAAATCTTTATTACAGTCTCAAAAAAATCTCAAATTCAAATCACTACCTTAGATTTTTTTCCCTTAAAGGTATCACTTCCAGCTATGAAGCCCTAGAGTGACTCTCCTTAATAAATTTATATCTTATAAGTAACTTGCCTAGAGGCTATACTAGAACAAAAATCTTTCAACTCCTAGGCCAGTCTTCTTTCCATTGTATCATACATCCTATGGTTCAATTTCTTAAATCTCAACAATAAAGCATAATGTGAAAAAGGATAAGGAATAAAGAATACAGTACACAATCCATCACAAGGTACTATATAATTAATACCAAGTGAATAATAAAGACAATAGTTGCTATTAAAGTTCAGAGAATACTGTGGGCTAGAGTTGACTGGTAAGATTTTAAAACAGAATTTAAATAAGAAGGAACTCCAGAAAATATCCATTCTAAACTTCATTTTACAGATAAGAAACTCAGGTCCTACATACAAAGCTTGTTGGTAGCAGTCCTTCAGGGAAAAAAACAATTTGAGCTGGGTTTAGAAATGTACAAAGATAAGATTTGAATAGGAAGCAAGAAAAGAGGATTTTCCAGGTAAGGAAATAGCATCAGCAAAATTTTAGAGGCTGAAATAATAAGTCAAGTTCAGAGGACAGAGAATAAATACTTTTGCCTAGGAATAAAATAAATTCAGAAATGGCTAAGATTTGTGTTGGAGAGAGGGGAAATAGTTTAAATACTTAAAAAATTAAATTTCATCCTATAAGGAGTAGAGAAATAGAGTTTGAGCAACAAACATAAATTTCTTAGAAAAGCCCAAATTTGTGCACTTGTCTGGAAGCCAAGACTATAACATAAAACAAGGATTATAACAGCCAAAATATTTTACCAATTACGAAAACAATGAAAGAAACAGGTAAGAATAAATGATAACAGATGTGGACAAAAGAATCAATAGTTACATTAAAATATGTAAGTTACTTCAAGCACTCAAGTTCTGAAAAGAAGGTTAGACAGTCCAAACAAGTAAATCTGTATGGCTTAAACACACACACACACACACACACACACACACAAACACACACACACACACAGAGCCCAACAGCCAAATTTACTATGCTTCAGACAGCAATAACTTACCTCTCTAGCAGCACAATCATGAGGAGCTTCTTCTTTATTTACTTTTCCTTTTGGAAATCCCCAGCCTGATTTTGCTAGGTACCCCTGAACCAGTAGTACCTACAAAACAAAGAGACATAAAAATCAAATATGCCCTCTTTTCCCACGTTCCTTTCTAAAATCAAAGGTATTTTTCTCTTTACTTCAAGTAACTGTTATCATCAATAATTTTATTCAGTATTTGGTTTAAATATCTTCCATGAGTCTAAATATACTATTACTAGTATGAAGGCATTCTGCCTATTTAAAAAATATTTCTTGAACAAGGAAGTGACACTTTTTTGCACTAAGCCAGCGCTGCAAGAAGTATTAATATAAAATCTTAGGACCCAGAATGCAGACAAAAATACACAAAATTTGGCCTTTTAGTACTAGAAATCTACGAATATTTTAAAACCTCAATTCATAATTCTACATAAATAACAAAATTTGTTAATGGGCTAAAAATTAACAGGTGATCACTATTTCACTAAAAACCTTATTTTATTACACTCACATTTTCAAGTGTCTCATCAAGAATAATTGCACCATATGTTGGTACTCCCATTTTATATTCCTTCCATTCATCCAAGACTTTTTCCACATCTTCACCTTGAGGCAGCAAAAATGGACAATGACTGAAGAGTATAAACAATGTCAAGGAAGCTACTTTCTCCCTTAATACAGCTTGAGAAATTGTATACAGAAAGAAACCTATAAAAATTAACTGTATTTTTTATGTGAAATTACTCAAATCTTTACCTCTCTTAACATTTTTATTTTTGTTGTTTTCCGAATTTGTTTTCTCTTAAACAAGTCATTGTTAATTTCTGCATTTAGCCTAGAGACAAATCAAGTAATTTTTGAGTAGTCATAGTCCTGGATCCCTAAGTTAGCACAATGAAATTCAGGACCATGTTAACCCTTCAAACACTTCTCATTAAGTGAGTTAAATTCATTACACCAAGGAGTTAATAGACACCGAAGTAATGGCAAGAAACAGAGGTATAGGGTGTGTGTGTGTGTGTGTGTGTGTGTGTGTGTATTGCTAAGAGAAAGAAACCATCAGAAAAACAAGAAAGATAAACTGTATAACTTCAAGAAAGAACTACGGATGAGGCATACCATTCTATGCTATTGACTTTCTTTACCATGTATATGTATTGTTTCTATAATGAAAAACATTTTGATGATGAAGATTTAGTAAGAATTATAGAAAAAATGTAAATCTTGATAGTAAGGAAAGAATAGCCAGTTTCAAAAACACTAGGCATGCCCCTGGCCCCCAAATTGAGCAGTATAAAATAGTATTATAAAAAGGAAAAAAAGCTCAAGCCCTGAAATTGCATGCTCAGGATTCTAATACTCATGCCATCAAATGCCTCATCATTGTAACACTGTTAATTATAAAAAGCGTGGTCAAGCCCTGTGGCTCACAATTGAAATGCCAGAAGTTAGCAGGGCATGAGGGCCAGTGCCTATAGTCCCAGCTACTCCAGAGGCTAATGCAGGAGGATCAATAAATTGAGCCCAGGAGTTCAAGGCTGCAGTAAGCTATGATCCCAACACTGCACTCCAGCCAGCCAAGAGAGCCAGACTCCATCTCTTAAAAACTAAAAACTATAAAAAGTATAGGGAAAATTATAATTTATGATAGTGTTTCTCAAAGGACATACTTTCAAGGGTTCTCAAGCCTTCAACAGAAACTTGTATAGCCTGTGTTTTCATTTTGATGTTACTCTAAAAACATGTAATATGAGCATACTTTCAATTATCTAGATGACCACATGTATCAAATACTGCCACTTAATTTCGAGACCATATTGGTACTAGTACTAACTTTAATTGCTCTGAGTTATTAAAAACAGAAGAAACCTAATACACAAATGATACATTAGGGTCAAATAACACATGGACATAATATAACAAGGAAGGTTTCTTAACAGATGGAGCAAGGAAAGGTGGTAGAAGAACTGGTAATATAGGTAAGTCAAACTCAAAACACCTTCAAAGAAAGCAGCATTATATTCACACTGTGATGAGAAATTTGGTTTCAACAAAAACACATTAAATTCATTTTACTAATTTAAATTTTACGAGTTCTACAATTTTGTAATTTAAATTTTGTTTTGGTTTTACAGTTGCAGTAAAAACAAAATAGGCCCTCGAAAAATTCAATGAAGTCAACTGTCTATGACAATACTGTAATTAAAAGACAAGCATGAGGTTAATCTCAATATAGTTAGTTCATGCCTTATTTGGGGAGGGTAAAGATAAAAGCTTGGATACAACATTAACCATTCCATGAAGCCCTGTGGTTCTATAGGGGGTTGCTAAGATTCTAAAAGGTATTTCCCAATAAAAGTCTTGCTTTATATGTTTAGTAAAGTCCCTAGCAAAACTTCAGCCTGGGGGCAAATCCATGATACCCTTGTCTGTATCCATTCACATTGCTGAGTGCTTACTGAAGAAAAATCATAAGACTATGCCCAACTTACAAGAGAAAAACAGACGCACAGAAAAGTCCCACAGTTTACCCAAGGATGCACAAGTAGTAAATGGCAGAGATAGGATGCTAACTCAAAGAATGTCACCATAACATCCACCTATATTATGCCATCTTTTCCACTCTAATATCCCAGAGGTACTACAAATTCAACTTGTCCGTAACTGAACCCGTCATTCCCCTCAGAAAATTTTTCATTTTCCTACGAATCAAATGGCACACTAATCCACTCAACTCCTCACACCAGAAACCTGGGTACCATCCTTTACCTCTCCTCAGATATCCAAGTTATCACCAATTTACCTTCTATTATCTTCCAAATAGACCTCTTCACTTCTAACATAGATTTTCATTATCTTTCTAGTAAACTAATGAAATCACATCTTAACTAGGTTCCCATCTCCAGTCTTGCCTTCCTCCAATTCACCATCCATACTATTCCAGAGTGGTCTTTCAAAACACCCTATAAGAAGAAATCAAGTAAACGTGACAAAACATTTAAAATGGATGACTACAGATAATGGGCATGACGATGGTAATATTCTCTGTAACTTGAGGTTTCTTCCCCCAAAAAAGTTTAATTTTTGAAAATGGAAAAAAAAAAAACTCCTACATTATTATTTTTCAAATACAGCCCACAAGACCACTACAAGTTTTAGCCCCTAAATTACTCTGATATCATCCCATCCCTCCCTTACTCTAAAATATAATATTTAACTCTTTTCACTTCCTCACATAGATTTTACTCACACAGCTCACTTTCTCTAAAGGCTTCTGTCTAGCCCCCCAATCTTTTTTCTGGAGGAGAAACAGTTAACATGTATTGTTCACTCACAATGTGCCAGGGACTGTTCTAAACAATTTACATATACAAATTAACCTGATTTTCAAACTGACCCTTTGAATTAGGTATTATTATTAACCTTATTTTTTAGGAGGAAACTGGGATCCCCATCTAAGAGAAATTAAATAACTTACCCAAGATTTTCCAGTGGCCTCAAGTTGGGATTCAAATTCATAGCCCCCAAGCCCTGATTAGGCATCCCTCTCCTCTGTTCCCACTGAATCCTGTACCAACCTATCACATCTTACCATACTGCAGTGAAATGATTTCCTTTCCTGTCTCTCATCTTTATACAGATACTGAGTCTGTCTACCTTGTTTACTGCATAATCCTGACACAGAAACCATTCGGTTACTTAACAAAGTCTACCACATTAGCAATAAAGGTTCCTTCTCCAAATAACTTTGTTTCTTTTAAAACATAACTAATATGGCCGGGTGTGGTGGCCCACGCCTATAATCCTAGCACTCCAGGAGGCCAAGGCAGGAGGATTGCTTGAGCTCAGGAGTTTGAGACCAGCCTAAGCAAGAGCGAGCCTCATCTCTAATATAAATAGAAAGAAATCAGCCAACCAACTAAAAACAGAAAAAATTAGCCGGGCACGGTGATGCATGCCTTTAGTCCTAACTACCCGGGAGGCTGAGGCAGACAGGATCTCTTGAGCCCAGAAGTTTGAGGCCGCTGTGAGCTAGCCTGACGCCACGGCACTCTAGCCCAGGCAAGAGAGTGAGACTCTGTCTAAAATAATAATAATAATAATATTTAAAAAAATAAAACATAATACAAAGGTTTCTGATGTTTAATTTTTAATAGCAAGGAATGTGTAAAACTAATGTACACAACACAAACAAAATGTTATCCAGAACCCCAAAGTATGTAAAGTTGGTCTGACAGAACTGTAAGTCTGTACAAAATGACCCAAACAGGCCTGGCATGGTGGCTCATGCCTCTAATCCTAGCACTCTGGGAGGCAGAGGTGGGAGGATTACTTGAGCTCAGGAGTTTGAGACCAGCCTGAGCAAGAGTGAGATCCTGTTTCTACTAAAAATAGAAAAAATTAGCCAGGCGTTGTTGCTTGCACCTGTAGTCTCAGCTACTCAGGAGACTGAGGCAGGAAGATGCCATGAGCCCAGGAGTCTGAGGTTGCAGCAAACTATAATGACACCACTGGCTACCTGGGGAGACAGAGCAAGACTCTGTCTCAAAAAAAAAACAAAACAAAACAAAACGACCACCAAACACAGGAGACTTGGTTGTTTTAATTATGTTTCCATAACTACATTATAATTACTTAAAGCCAAAGTCTTCCATGATTTCTCCACAGAACCTATCACCAAGGCTTTAAGACAGACGGTGCTCAACATACTTCTATTCTCCTTTGATTCCTCATTAACTTCTACACATTTAATCAGTCAATGGTTTGATCATTGCTTCCTTTGAAATGTCTCCCCCATCAGTGTTCTTTGTAGTCCTGCTCAGGACCTTATTATTCCATATCTCAAGTGATTTAATAGTCTAACCCATGGTTCAACCTATCCTGCCAAATAATCTAATACCATTTTCAAATGATCAGAGAAATATTCTTTATCCTTGCTCAAAAACTTCTATCATTAACAGTTTCCTAGTGTTCCTATTCATTTTCTACAGAGCCCTAAGGGGTCTGTATTTCATAGGGCTTAAGGAAAGTAACAGGGAGCTAAGTATGAGGATATTTCAAGTCACCTATCCCTACTCCAACTCTAGTTCTAGTAACCAAATTTGGGTTTGGGATTGGGTACAAATCCATTTGAGCAAACATTTTATGGTTAAAAACAATGACCTATAGAATAAAAAAGAAATCAAAGCACCTTGGCTCAAGATTTGAAAATCCTTACAACCCCATCCCCATATACCTTTTCAATCATCTCCTATTATGGCCCCATGAGAACCTCTGCTCAATATAAAGTACCTGAGATATCCTTTTAACTTTTCAAATCTCCAATTTTGCTCAATCCCTTTTCTTTACCTAAAACATATTCCGAACTTCTACTTAGAAAATCCTATATTCCCTTAAAAATATAGCTTTGCCTAAAATCTTTCCACCCTTTTCCCAAATTCTAAAAACATTTAATATTAGGACCATTAGCAACTCATCAATTCTTCTCCTTGTGACACAGCTACTTTTATAATCTTAAATATTCATGTCAATTTTTTATAACTAATAAATTATTACAAACTTCTAATATCTAAATAGGGGAGAAAAAGCTTCTTTTAAAACAAGGACTTCTTTGTATTTGCCACAGAACTAAAAACAAATGCTTTGAACATAGTAAATATTCAACAATCAATTAAGAAATTTCTAAATCAGAAAGACAGTAATCTGATAAAGATAGTCCAGTTACATGGAGCATCAAAAGTAAAGTAAAAAACACATCAGTTCTACAAATAGGTTAGCTATTTTGAAAAGAAAATCAAATTTAATTCTAATCATCAGTGTGCATTGCAAGGAGTCCTCTGTATAAAAATAAAGACACTATTAAATTATCTACTATTTATATTTGACACTTTTTAGATACCAAGTATGTTTTGTCTAACAGGTTAAAAAAAACTCAAAGACAAGTAAAGGGAAAATTGTGTTAAATATTTTACTAACAAGAATGAAAAACAGTTATTATAGTAATGAAAAGGATATCAGCTTTAGCAAAGTCTCTTATCCCACACTGAGGTAATCCTGATGTGTTCTGCATGTAGAAATCCAAGTAAAACCAATGGGCAAGTTCAATCTGAAAACACACTCGGATTGCATTGTCTCTTTCCTCGCTGGGAATATGCAAAATAAATCGGCTGTCAAAAACAAAACACATACAAAAATTACATTTACAAACTATAACGATTTATTTTAGCCTATTTAATTGCTTTACCCTGACCCACCAACTTAGAAAACGGACTAAGCAGTCCTGACAAAGGAAGCAATCAAAATTTCAGGGAAATTACTATAATAAAGATGAGTCCTTTAAAAAAAAAAAAGGATGAGAGGATGCCACATAGACCTCAGAGTTTGTCTGAATCTATATACCCTCTGTTCACAAGTACAGAGATAAATGTAAGAGTTCACTAACAACAAATTAAAAGTAACAAGAAAACAATTTTTACTAGGATTTCCTCTCATGCTTGGTAACATTTCTAAGAATACGGGCAAATATATTCACATAATTAAATAAAAAAATACATTTGAAACTGCTTAATCTCCATATATAAAATTTACCAAGAAATACTGGAAAAGAAAGAAATTAATACTCTGTTGTTCATTAATACACTAGACTTCCAAAGAGCCTGCAATCTCACTTCAAACTAACTTTCGAACATCTTTTTTTTAAATCCTAAAATGTCTTTTCCAAGTACATTGGAAGTACACAAGTACACTATGTGTGTGTGTGTGTGTGTGTGTGTATATATATATATATATGATTAAGATAACGAACCCTTTTGTGAAACATACAAGTTAAAATTTAAAAATCTAAGTGAATGTAATTATAGCAGTCATTACACAGCTACTAATTACTTCTTCTGCTACGTGTTTTTGGTAATCCTTTTTCCTAGCAACCATTAGAGACAGATTCAACTAAGTAAAATAAATCCAAAATAAATTCAGGTTTTTTTTAAGAGCCATTTTTTAAAATTAAAAATTGTATCACCCAATTTATTCACATTATTCACTAGCTATGAAGCTAAGTAATACCTGGCTGTTTCCAAATTTCAAATCAAATCTCAAAAAAATACTTATATATTATAATTGTCATGTAACATTCCAACAAGGAATAAGTAAATGACAGGGCAATATATACAAAATAATCTACATTATAGATTAATCTACAATATAGAAAAATTGTGGGGAACCAGGTATGGTGGCTCACCCCTGTAATCCCAACACTTTGGGTGGCTGAGGGAGGAGGACTGTTTGGGGTCAGGAGTTCAAGATCAGCCTGGGCAACAGAGTAAGACTCTGTCTCTAAAAAAAAAAAAAAAGAAGAAGAAAATAAAGAAAAATTATGAGGGAAAGGAGCTTAAACTGCACACACACAAAAAACAAAACATATAACATGCAACCCTGACTGCATTATGTAAAATATGAAACCCAAACTCTTCATATGTCATTCGAGATCTGGTCCCCACCAACCTGTACAACCTCTTTTATCGCTCTGAGGTCCTCTATACCCAGAGATGCCTCATTCCTGGAAATAAATTGTCTAAATACTATACTAAATATACTATAAATATACTATACTATACTAAATACTATACTAAATAAATACTATATCTACCCTCCCCTTCTCTTGTTCCTCTAGCAAGCTCCTAATTCATCCTTTGAGACTTACAAATACTACTTCTTCTACGTAGGCACACCAGACTCCTCTGAACAGACTTATATACTCTTTGATTCCCACTCCGTTACAGCAATTATCATATGTATCGTATGTATCATATCGTGAAAAGTGTGATTTTTACCATTACTGTCCACAAACCCTTACAAATTAGTTCACTGAGATTACATACTGTATATTTTTATTCCCATAGTCTAGCAAATTGTCTAACGCATGCTGATAGTTATAATGTATCTTCAAGATGCTTACACAGGGTCTTCCTCTGCTCCTTCCACAAAATACAGCTATAAAACCCAGGGAGAATGCATGGAGCAGCTATCTGAGAACTCTGAAAAGTAAACAGCAGCAGGAAAATTAGAGAAAACCAGTATTCAGAGTGGATTTACCACTTGGCCTGGACTGGGGGTTCGAAGTGGGCATCAGCAGGGACAGAGAACTCCAGAAGCCCTCTAGTTCTGTTTTAAGGATCAAGAGGAGTCTAATCAGGTCTTCTAATGCTTGGGAGACTATGGAGGAAATTTCCTTTTTCTTTTCTCCATTCTGTTACACCTCAGCCCCCAAGCAATCTCATCATGGTAACGGAGGTAGACCCACAGAGTCTAAAACTCTAGAGAACAGAAACTTTCAAGCTCAAGAACTGTGTAATCCCAGAAGAGTAAGGTCAAATTCCGTTGCCTTTTTTTTTTTTTTTTTTCCTCTCTCTCTCTCTGTCCTCCAGCTGCTTGGTCCCAGATATAGGCAGAGTCACATGAAGTGTGTGGTAGAGGGGTTTTCTTGCCATAGGACCAAAGAGGAGAGCCCTGAAAACCAAGAAGTACCAGGGAGATAGCAGAGAGAACAGCTCAGGAAAATGGCCCCATAAAATTGTTTCTGAACTCTGGAGCTCAACCCTGAACTGCACATCCTCTGATTAGACTGTGAACAGCATTTTATAGTTTTTGAGAACTGAACAGCAATAAAGACCACTGCCCAACTCCCAAACTGGCCACTGCATAGTGCACACAAGACAAAAACTAGTCCTTCTTTCATCTGGTTTAACTTAGCTCCATGTCTCAAAAAAAAAAAAAAAAAACAATGGTATGCTATTTATTTTCTCAGTTTCAGGCATTTTCTATTTACTTCCACTATGGAAGATGAGGAATTGGAATTAGCTCTACTCTCATTTCCACTCCACATACCCTTCTCATCTTTCCATTTTCCCAACAAAATGATGTCATAGTTTTGGTTAGTTTCTCAACTCACTTTCAAGCAGATAATTTCATATTAAGAGGGGCTGTCTTGAGCATTGTAGGATGTTCAGCATCATCCCCAGCCTCTACCTGTTAGAAGTCGACAGCACTACCTGTCAAGTTGTGACAACCAAAAAATATCTCCAGATATTGCCAAATGTTCCCTGAGGGGAGCAAAATTACTCCCAGTTGATAAGTCCTAGGTTAGATGAGCATTCAACCTTTACATTGTTATGACTCCATAAATGCAATTCACAACTAGGGCGTGTGGTACACTGATTACTTTTCATTTCCTGCATAGTCCTTTCTTTTCTCCATAATTAATACTTGCCATCATTGCCTTTCCTTCAATTTCTATACACTTGTCACTAATTCAACCTTCCACTAGTTTCCTAAATTTTTTTCTCAAGATGTTAATTCTGTCAACTAATAAAACCAACACTACAGAGTACCAAATAAAAGGTGTTAGGCTGGGCGCAGTGGCTCACGCCTGTAATCCTAGCACTCTAGGAGGCCAAGGCGGGCAGATCGCTCAAGGTCAGGAGTTCAAGACCAGCCTGAGCAAGACTGAGACCCCCGTCTCTACTAAAAATAGAAAGAAATTAATTGGCCAACTAAAAATATACAGAAAAAATTAGCTGGGCATGGTGGTACATGCCTGTAGTACCAGCTACTCAGGAGGCTGAGGCAGAAGGATTGCTTGAGCCCAGGAGTTTGAGGTTGCTTTAGGCTAGGCTGACGTCATGGCACTCTATCCTGGGCAACAGAGTGAGACTACAGAGTGAGACTATCTCAAAAAAAAAAATGGTGTTTTCATCGGGATCTTAGGAATTGCAATTAAGGAGACACAAACTTAACAAGCAGCTAAATTGTGTTCCATCCAGGCAAGGTTAGGCAGGGGCTTATGAGGGCTACCATAAGTTTACACATCTGGAAGATTTTTAGCATAGTCCATGATTGATGATGGCTGTCACCAGCTGATGGGTATCAGCTTAAATGTCTCTAGTCCATGATCAATATAGTTTGGTATAGCCAAATCTCTCCAAGAGATTGGTGATCAGGACCAATGTAAATAGTTCAAATCCAGTGCAGCTGGTTTTATGATTTGGCTCAGTTCAGCAGATCAAATTCCATCTGGATGTGTGTGTGACTGGGGTCCAACTCCTCATGCCTTCCTGGCTCATTTTTAGATACCTCGGACATAAATCATCTACATTTGAGATTTTCTTTTCACAATTCAGATGCATCAGTATCATGTTGAAAATGTCTTTTAGTCTTCTGATCTCTTCCAATTTGGATCAGTTGTCCTCTAAACCTGGTACATATCCATCATCCTATGCTGTTCTTCCACTAGCATCCTATGGTTCCCTATACCTTTATCCCATGTAAAAGTTCATGTTTCTGTTATCTGTCTTTCTCTTAACTGACTTCCTTATTTTCATGAAGTACATCCTCACATATGTTCTGGAGAAAGGATGCAGGGGAGGTAAATACTAAGGCACTGTACATATGATATCTTTATTCTCACACTTGATAATCTGGGTAAAATATTCTTGGGATCATTTTCTTTTAGAATATTGAAGACAGTGCTCTCTCATTCCAGCTTCTAGTTTTTTATACTGAGAAGACTGAAGCCATTCAGACTCTTAATCTTTTGTAGATGACCTTCTTTTCAGTCTGGATGCTTCTAAGATCTTCCTTCTGTCCCCAGTGTCACCAAATTTTCCAGTGACTATTTTTTATCCATTGAACTGTCATTCAATAGACCATTATCTACTTGGAGACTCACATATTTCAATGCTGAAAGACCTCACAGACCAATCCTCTTAAAATTTTTAACTTTTCTACATTTCCTACTTCTGATTTTTCCTCTACTTTCCTACCTCTACTTTCTGGGAAACTTCCTTCACTTTATCTTGCAAGCCACTTATTAAGGTTTTTGTTTCTGCTCTCCAATTTTAATTTCCAAAAGCTCTTTTTAGTTAAAGTATGCTTTTATAGAGTATCTTATTCTCACTTCATAGTGTCAAAATCTACCTCTAAGAAGATAACATAGTTTTGTTTTTAAGTTTTCTTCTACCTACTTAGTCTGATTCTTCCCAGTAGCTTTGGTTAGTTTTAAGCTCTGCCTTTCATGTTAAGAAGCCTATTTCAGATGTTCATATTTAAGTGCGACTAACCACAATGCTATTTGGGAGGGTGGTCAAACTATGAGGCACAATTTAAAGTGATC